TGTTGCCCAGGCGGGTCTCGAACCCGCGGTCTCAGGCAATCCACTCACCTCAGCTTCCCAAAGGCGCGGGATTACAGGCTGAGCCACCGAGCCCGGCTCTGTACTATGTTATAGTGACCTCTGATACATATTACTAATGTGCTCTCTTGCAGGTGTACTAATAACTAAACTCATGCATCTTTTGTATCTTTATCGTCCAAAGAAAATATACTGATTCTTTTCATTGCTGACATATGCCTTGCTAAAATCAAACCATTTCGTCTGGTAACCCTTGACAAGAAGGAAAATTGTGTCAGGATTTTGAACAAACACCGGTTGCTACTGATGTCTTTTTAAACCGGTTCTAAAATGTAAGACTGGCATACTCGGCTTGCACTGTGGGAGAGGTGATGACTGGGCTGGGAAGAAACATGTAGAGGGAAGAGGAAACAGGAAACATGGAAAGCGCTGCAACAAGTCTTCTGGCTTCACTGCAGACAAGTGGTTTCTCCTTCGCCTTTTAGCTTAAACTGGGCCGGTGTGGTTTGGTGATTTAACCAAGCAAACGTATGCAGTAAACTGGCCCGCCTCAAACATAGGGAGACACCAGAAATGGACAAAGAAAACTAGTAAACAGCCCCAATGCTACAGCGAAGCTGCGACAGGTCTACGTCTTACATCGGGAAGCCCAAGATGGAGGGCGAGGAACCCGGGGAGCTCCCGGAGTCCAACTCCCGGCCTCGGGTCTGCCCAAGAGAAGTCAGGCGCCACGCCACGCCCCCTTACGTCACCGACAGACGTAAGCCGCTCTCCCGCAAACGTGCCGCAGGGCGCAGGCCCCACCCCCTGCCCCGCCCTCCCCAAAGCCGGGCGGCTAAACACCACACGTGAAGCATGCCGGGACTGGTTTTCGAGTCTCCCAGCAGCCTCCGCGACGGGCGCGGTGCGTAAGTAGCTAGCCGGCGGTGGCCGTTCTATGTAAGATGGCGGACCGGCGGCGGCAGCGCGCTTCGCAGGACACAGAGGACGAAGAATCTGGTGCTTCCGGCTCAGACAGCGGCGGC